TTTTTGTGGGAGAATAAATGGACGGCCTTAGTTTCTGAAAAAAAGACCTAAGACAAAGTTGCCGTTTTTTTTTTTTAAATATAGATATGTATACATGTATTCAAGTTTTTACAACTGTTTGTAAAAAAAATTACCTCAATTGAACTACAGTGAACCCTGTAATAAGCGGACCCCATATTAAGCTGACACACTCTATTAAGTGGACACCAGCTTGAGTCCCAAAAATTTCTACATTTACTGTAAAATAAACCTGCATTCAGCGGACACCTCTGTTAAGCGGACGCGCACACTAATATTAAGCCATTTTGTTGCACAAACCCTGCAATAAGCGAACACTTCAAGGGCTTTTTACTTTGAAAGCTCAGCTCAGACTCCTTTAACATGTTCCGCGATGTCGTGCTAAAGCTAAGTAGATTATTCCAGATTGATGCATTGACTGACTGGACATTGTGCTATGAGCAGTCTTAGCTAGCCTTTGATCTTGCGCTGTTAAACTGAGTTACAAAAGGGTTAATGATTAACTATTACTGCACACAATATTAGAACCTGCTTAGAGCGAACAGTCAGTCATACTTTTAACTGTGTACGAAAACATTTTCACACAGATACCAACGAATGCGCCAGTAATCCTTGTTTAAACGGAGGGTTCTGCACAGACCAGGTTAATGGATATGTTTGTAGCTGCCAAGCTGGCTACACAGGCATACATTGCCAAACCGGTAAGCACAAAATATGATTTACGTCTCTTGTTATAACAGTTCTGTATTATGTGGTTTAAACACACCGATCGATGAAGACGCCCACAATATAACTGTTTAGAAAATAACCCAGAGAAAATACAAGGGCTGATTGGTTTAAAATCGTGTCTCTATTAAACAATTAGATTATGGGCTCGAGTCAACTATCACGCATAGAAATCGAGAGCGAATAATCTAATTGTTTTAATATAAATTTACTAGTCGTTCAAAAGTTTATCTAAATCCTCGTCACAGACACTTCGAAAACGAAAAGAAGCGGCCGTCATTTTGTTAACAAGGGCACACTGCTGTGCTACTCGTTATCTATCACAGAATAGATAGTGAATAGCGTAGCCAATCAGAGAACGGCATTCGTGATAGAACACTAGTAGATTTGCACTAAAACTCGATAGAAACACAGAACTAAAACGAGCTGTTGACGTAATGATGAATAGAAACATGTTCTCCGTGTTTCTGTCGAGTTTTAGTATAAATCTATCAGCGTTCTATCACGAATAGTGTACTCTGATTGGCTACGCTACTCACCATCTATTCTGTTGTAGATAGTGAGTAGTGGGCGCTTGTTAACAAACTGGCGGCCGCATTTTTTGCGTTTTCGAAGTGTCTTTGAAGAGGATTTAGATAAAGTTGTGAACGACTAGCAGATTTATACTAAAACAATTAGCCCTCGTCAACTATCACGCGATATAAATTTCAAGCTCATAATCTAATTGTTAAATAGAAAGATCAGTAGAAACACTCGTAGAAGTTTGGGAGAACTGGAAAATCGCCTGTCGGCTCGTGTTCCCATTGCATTTCTGGTTCTCCCAAACTTCCAGTCCCGTTTCTTAAACTCAACAGCAATACGGTACATGTTTTCTATTTCTTAGTTAACTGAAAATCGATTAAGAACCTTAAGTGTTGTTAGCATTTTTAAAAGAGTTAATTTTTAAGCGTAGTTTCAGGTTAAAGAAAGGCGTCTATTTTTACGGATCGTATGGGCTCGTGTTGGTAAGAGAACCCTCCCCTCACTTTACCTTTTATATAAACAATGGCCTCCATTTGGCGCGAAAGTATACCCGGATATTTGTCTGGCAGACATTACCTGTTCCGATAAGCGAACAGTTTTCCGAGAGCAAAAAACAAGAAAAACTGTGAGCTTTGAGGAATAGGTAAAGTCTAAGGACAAATATTTGATCATATTTTCGCACCAAATGGAGGCTATTGTGTTTATTGTCCTTCAAATATTTTTCGAAACACGCGAAGTTTTGAAAATAGGGGACTATCACTAGGATATTCCTCAGTTTTAGCTGGGCATATTCAGTCACGTGACGCGTTTAGACCAATCGCGCGCGAGCGAAAATATTTGATGGATTATAATTCCACACGTTTTTGTTATGACAGAAATTTGCTCTGTAGCGCCTCAAAATCGCCAAAACTGTGGATGGGGAGGGATCAGTCGACAAGTATGTGAATACAGAGGATGTTGCTTTGACTCAAGCATTTCCGGCGTCATTTGGTGTTTCCATGGAAACTCTTAAGGTTTGCATCCTCCATTGATCAAGTTACAACACAAGATCACATGCAACGTACATCAACTCAGGGACAAGATGAGAGATCCACAAGAACAGCTTCTTCCTAAGAACAATGACAGAATACAACAGCTTGNTGCTGCTTTCATGCCTGAGGTACTTGTCTTTTCTTCAACAAGGATAATTAAGAAAATATGTATCCATCCATAGACTTTTCATGAAGTCCACGCCATTCCGAACTTTTTGCGGTGGAATCAGTTCTGGTCCCGGGATTATTTGCGGTACAATTTGGGGATCATTTGCTGTACAGAACTCTCCCCTCACTTTACCTTTTATATAAACAGTAGCCTTCATTTGGCGTGAAAATATGCTTGGATATTTGTCCGGCAGACATTATCTGTTCGGAGAAGCGAACAGTTTTCCGAGAGCGTAGCTCGAGAAAAACTATGAGCTTTGAGGAATAGGTAAAGTACAAGGACAAATATCCGAGCATATTTTCGCGTCAAATGGAGGCTATTGTGTTTATTGTCCTTCAAATATTTTTAGAAACACGCGATGTTTTGAAAATAGGGGACTATCATTAGGATATTCCTCAGTTTTAGCTGGGGCATATTCAGTCACGAGACGCGTTTAGACCAATCGCGCGCCAGCGAAAATATTTGATGGATTATGATTCCGGACGTTTTTGTTATGATAGAAATTTGCTCTGTAGCGCCTCAAAATCGCCAAAACTGTGGATGGGGAGGGATCAGTCGACAAGTATGTGAAGACAGAGGATGTTGCTTTGACTCAAGCATTTCCGGCGTCATTTGGTGTTTTTATGGAAACTCTTAAAGGTTTGCATCCTCCATTGATCAAATTACTACACAAGATCACAGGCAACCTACATCAACCAAGGGACAAGATGAGAGATCCACAGGGACAACTTCTTCCTAAGAACAATGACAGAATACAACAGCTTGCCATCCGACATACCTCAGTTTAAACCACAGAACCCTTTCAGACTGGCCCTGCGGGCACATTTTAAAATTTAAAATGTTAGTTATTTTTGTTCGCATTTTTTTTTTTTTGTAAGAGCGCTATGCACAGCACAGTATTACTTTGCATTATATTAACTTGATCACATACACCTGCACCAGCACTTCATGTCGGGATGGGCAAACTTTACCATGTAAAAATGTAATTGTAAATTTTGCAAACTTATTGTAATGTTTGCCTTTAAAAACAGAAGTGAGTTTTTAGCAAAACGACTAATTCCATAGTACGCAAAGGTTAACTCGTGTCAATCATCATTCCTTAGAAATATCACGAGTTGGCTCATAGAGCACTTTGATTTACCTCAAATAAGCTAGTGCTTTCGGCTCAAAAATGATAGGTATTAGTGAGAATTTAAAGAAGAATTTTAATAATAATAATAATAATAATAATAGTTTTTGTAGTTGACATTATTTGTGCTTAATACGATGTTTAGACTACTTATAAAGCAAGTTTTTTATTAGGCTAATTTTTTTGTCACATTTTCTAGAAGCTGAGCCATTAATTTGTTTTTCATCTTACGTCATTTATAACAAAGGATTAATACAGCTTTCTTATTATAGCTCGTAGCTTAATAATTTTTTTCAATATTTTATTGTTTTGTAACTATTCGTTGATATTTGTAAGTGAAATTATTATTATTCAGAAAATAATAATAATTATTGAAAATATTTTTACAGGGTAACAACTTCAGTTATAAAACTGATATCGATGTGGGCCCTGTCAAATAAAACAAAGATGAAGTGAATATTTCAAAACTATTAAAATGGGAAATTTAAAAATGCGTCAAACTCTAAAACTAAGAGTAAAAAATAATTCACCCTTGTAATAAAACGAACGATCGATAAAAAGATTCGTGCCACTACTTCTAATAAAATAAGAGAGTATGTCAATACGTCTTGTATTAAAATAGTTTTTAAATAAATCCGGGACGTGTTCCTTGTCCTTGAGGCACTTATTGAAAAGTTCTTTTATATGCTCGTCACGTCTCCCAGAAAGCGGTTTCCATCCTAATCGATCTATAATGGCATCACTCTTCATTTCTTGAGAGTTTTGAGGATGATATGAACATCTCTCCTTTGCAAGCGTTCGATCTTCTGTTGATTCTCATAACTACAGCCGTGTCAGCACTCAAGTAGTATACTCAACGTCTTGCTTATCTTATGAATACAAGTACTTTCAAATAAAGAGCTGTTTTTATCAGTCCCTGACAATCGCTTTATGTTCTGAGATTTTGGATACTGCCTATAAGATTTTTAACACAGATGACATTTAAAAACGTAGTCTCCAAGAGTATTGTTTTGCATGCGGCATTATCTAAACTCTGCTGACTGTGGAGTTGGATAATGAGTCACCTCAGGCCTGTTTAATTACTTAAAACTGTTCTTAGACCCCGGAATGAGTAATTACCAAAATAAAAACCCATGGTCAACAATTTGAACATTAAAACAGGGAAAATTAGGCAGCGGTTAGCACAGTGTAATACTGCACATAATCAAATTACGGATCGCAAGATTTGACTTGCATGTCACAGGACTGTAGAAAAAGAAAAGAAATTCAGCACAAAAGTAGTAGCAATCACCGGGTGACTCTCATGTTTGGAAAACAAGCCCTGAAATTAGCCATAGTTAGTTCTCCCGCGGTGTCGATACTCGGCAGAATGATCAATAAGAATCAACAATTAGACTATTGAATTTCCCTGTGGTCGGTATATATATATATCCAAATAAGTTTCTTTTCTTTTTTCGCCCTTGTCATAAAGTTAAAAGTGCTGTCAAAATGAAACAATTAAGATGCACGACGGCCGGTGAACAAACATACCGGTGAACAAACACCTCAACGGTGAGTAAGCATATTTCTGTAAGGAAGTATCGGATTGCGAAATGCAGCAGCCTTGAGTGATAAAAAACCGTTTTAATATTTCGGAAGGGTAGCTAAGCTCTTGTAATTTTATTTGTTGTCATAGTGTAGCCGGCAGATGTTATTTTTTGGGGATAGGGGTACTGTATCGTTTACCTCGCTTGTGTTTGTGCCGCTTAAAGAGTAAGAACTGACCGCGTTATGATTATTGAAACTGTTGCGATCTAAGCTTTCGTTTTTTTATCTTAGCTATGGTATTTTCGGAACTAGGGAATCGATGTTTTAAGCTTTCGCGCCATTGCTTGTAACTTGAGCATCACAAATTAGTTTCGCTTAATTCAAGATTAGCTTCGATCTTATAACCTGTATTCTTTTCGTTTGCAGATGAAACACAGCAAATTACCGCTCTCCTTAGTGATTCCTTTAATTTTTGGAACATGTATTTACACCTCAACCGGCACTAAAAATTTCCGACGAGAACGCAATACAGTAAATTTCGCTCATTTTGTTAACAATCTCTCGCACCGCTTAAATGGCGCTGTTCTAGTTAGCTTCATGGTCTTGAGTCCAACAGAATGTGCTTATCACTGCATTAATAATCAAGATTGTTACTCGTTTAATTTCGCTGCAACTTCACTTGACGGAAGACATTCTTGTGAGCTGCTGAATACGGACAAGTTTCTCAACTCGGATGATTTAGTTTGCCATGCTGGCTTTGATCATTATAATATTAAGGTAAGAGTCACGTCAAACGTTTTTGTTTTTTTGTTTTGCTTTCTTTTTACAGTGAGACAGCCGCCTCATTCAGCTTGTTTTGGGTAATATTTTTACTCGTTCTGGATCAGTTGCAGAAGAGAAAAAGTTTGGAAAGAAAAGTCACTCGTCGATATGCAATCAAAGATCGTCTTTCTCACGCCAATTTTAAAGGTTTGATCGGCTGTTTTCGAACCACGACTCGCTCTTTCAGACTAGCAAAATTGAGTTGTAAATGTGTGCCTGCCGGTTTTGTCGTTAGCTGCGCACCAAATAACTCATGAATAAAAATCTTGCATATGATTATGGTATTTAATAATTCTAAGATAACTGAAGTCTCTCAGAGAATATCCGTTATGTACAGGTTACAGAAAGCTATCTCCTATTCAACAAGACGTTGAAACGGGGGTTTTATTCTCTACATAGACGATATTCCGCTAAATGGCTGCCAAATAAAAATTCTTTTGTAAGTATTAAAATTAGCCCAACTAACCTCGTTTTTGAGTTGATAATTCAAAAGAATTTTTACTCTCAAACGAGGTTCGGTTGGGCTTATTTAAATGCATACAAAAGAATTTTAAATTGGTAGTCATGCATTTATGAATAGGGTCTATAACATTCCCTCTTGTATCAGTTTGTAAACTCAGGGTGAGGCCGGGGGGTACTCTCAGAAAAATTGGGTAGGGATGTGCGGCCCGATTCCCTAGACCCTTACCTTATTTAAGACCAAATTCTGCGATCTTCTATGACCCTTAAATTTTATGATCTGACCAAATATTTGATACCTTATGTAAGACCGGACCCTTAATAATAATAATAATAATAATAATAATAATAATAATAATAATGATAATGATAATGATAATAACGATGATGATAATAACAATAACAATAATAATAACAATATTAGATTTATATTGCGCTAAAATTATAAAATATTCTAAAGCGCTTTACAATGTAAGATTAAGATTACAGTAACATCAACAACAATTGAGATTAAGATTAAGATTACAGCAATATCAACAACAATTAAATCAATACCCTTTTTCAGGGCTGTCTGATAATTCGTTTCCTAGTTCAGACCGATGTTAAAGGCATTGTGAAGGGCGTTTGTCGATCGTCTTATCGATGACGCTGGAAAAGTAGCTTCTTCTTCTTAAAAACATGCCCGATTCAAGACTAGACTTCAGAGAGCATACCCTATTTGAGAATAGATGCCCTATTTCTGACCAAAACGGCTAACAAGCCATACCCTTTGAGTCCGCATGCACATACATATATAGCCAATGTAAGGGAGTACCTCTCCTTGGGGGACTGAGGGAGGATACTCAGTGCTTATTCAGTATAAACTGCAGCGAGAGTGACCTTCCTCACTTTTTTCACTGTATTTTCAACAGACACCTTGCATGAACAACCCTTGTCAACCTGGAACTTCTTTCTGTCGACCGATTTACAATCGAGACGACTATCAGTGTGTTTGCAAAGCAGGTTTTACCGGAAAGCACTGTGGAGTGGGTCAGTTTAATTTTCTTTTGTCTGATATGTACGCAATTTCCGATCTGAGAGTGGCATCAAAAAGCATAACTCAGGCATGCGCATAACAGGAATCTAAATTATCAACTATGAGCTACTATGGGTTTTGCTTCCCTAATTGACCAAATAATTATAACAAACTGATTTCCAAAACCGAGCGATGGCGGTGTAAAATTAAAATCACTCTGACCAGTCGCAAAAGACACAGACAATCTAGAGAACCAATCAAAACTCGAAGTAAATACACGCGAAGAGCGAAACAGGGGAAAACATCTGAGAGAGTCACGATTGGTTAATTTTGGTTTTATTTCTGATTGGATGACAGACTGGCACGATTTTTTTAAGCTAATCGTGTAACGTAGGGATGCATAACCAAATAAGAAAATGGCAAGTTCGTTGGACACTCAAATTAAAACCTCTCTAGCTACAGAAAATCAGTAATTCGCCATCAAGAGACAGTATTAGTTACGTAAACCAAAATTTTAGATATAATAATAAAGTGTATTATCGTTTGTCTCACGATGTAGTCACTTGAGATGTAGATCGCGACGTTTCGACAGGAGAATGGTACAGCAGCGGACCACTGAGGGAACAGCTACTCACCGGAACAATGGAACAATAGGAGGATCGAAATGCCCCAATCACAGCCGACCTTTGTGATATAAATGATACCGTGCAATCAGTCGACCTTATCGCCTGAAGAAGACTAGCAGTAAGCAGTCGAAACGTCGCGATCTACATCTCAAGTGACTAC